CCCTAACGTTCTGTGATTCTGTGATTATAAGCAGCAGCATCACTGACTTTTGTAAAACATAAAATAACTTCTTATACAGCTAGGGCACAAAGCATGGATCATTTAGCATGATCTCAGTTAAGGTACACAGTAAAACTATTAATAATAATGCCCTTTTTTTGCACATTACCAAGGCTTTCAAATTGCTGAGCAAAGAAATTTAATAGGTTTCAAGAATAATGGTCAATGCAAGTTCTGAGTGCCCATGTAGTCTGGAAAGATGTTCACGTCTAGAGCTAGGTCTATACTTTGTGGTTTGTACCTACCTATGGAGGGCAAACAGCCAAGAAATAGAAGTCTAAATAAAATACCAGAAAGCTAAACAGAGTTATCACCTTTCCTCAGGAAAGCACAGGCACTGTTTAAGTGACGAAATAATTTGTGCCAGACTTCTCAAACCATGTGGCTAATCAGCAGACTCTCATGCCAGAGTTTCTTTGCTTAATGCGTGTATTTTGCAGTCCCATCTCAGACTGAACCAATTTGCTTTATGTTTTCGATTGCAGAGCCTTTGCCAAGAGACAGCAACAGCTGACTGCAATGAAAGTTATCCAGAGAAATTGTGCTGCATACCTGAAGCTGAGGAACTGGCAATGGTGGAGACTGTTCACTAAAGTGAGTGGCTGCTGTCAGTGAATCTCTTCCCAGCTTTCCAAAACAAATGAAATGAACATAATACTGAGGCATATCATGTCAGACACACTCCTTATTCCAAAGTCCATTGCAGTTTCACAAAATTTTGGGTTAGAGATACTCTGGATAGTTTAATGCCATTAATATTAAAGTTAATTCTAGCTTGAGAACAAAACAAACTACTTAAGCAGAGATTCATAAAAGATTTTGCATGTTTGGGAACTTTTTTTAATTGCCAAAAATGAAATAATTTCACAGGAGTGGATAATGAGAAGATAAGAGTAAAACTGAATTTTGTGAACATGCACAGTTGCATATCTATGAGGAACTCAATAGCTCAGAAGTTCCCTAACTGGGATACTAAACACCTTCCTGCTAGGCACTTAAGCAAATTAAGTCTATTTTCCTAATGAAAAGGCCTGATTTTTTTTTTCCAAGAATGGCCTTCAGTTTCAATTCATAAAACTGTTCCTACTTATATTGATAGCAACTGCCTCCACGGCCAGAAACACACAGTAGTTCTGTACTCTACAGGCCATAACACACACCCACGTGTGCACATTGCCTTTCTTGTGGCCTTTGTACAACATCAGTGCTCAACAACAGGGCTGAAGCCATTCAAAAAGTGGCACTGTAGGAGGCAGAGGTGCTCACAAGGCTCCGAGAATGAGCACAGAGATGGCAAAGAGGCCATCCAGTGCTGGCTGAAGATTGCTGGTTGAAAGATGCTTGCATCCAGCTTGGCTGGGCAGTGTTTGTTCACTGCCTGACCAACAACACCCAGTGCTACCACCAGCACCAGGCACCTTTAAGTACCATGCTCAGAAACATGAATACTGTCAGGAAACATTCTTAAAAATGCTTTTTATTTTCAGGTGAAACCACTGCTGCAAGTCACCCGCCAAGAGGAAGAAATGCAGGCCAAGGATGAAGAACTACAAAAAACTAAGGAAAGACAACAAAAAGCAGAGAGTGAATTGAAGGAGCTGGAACTGAAACACACGCAGGTGATTTACAGCTCAGTCTCTGGGAAACACTAGCTTTTCTTTCACCATTTCTAGAAGCCATTACAATTAAGGTGGTTTTTTTCTTTGTACTCATGATTGTATTCACAGCAATGATCCAGAACAACAGTTCAGTGCAGATAAACCCCTATTACTGCAGTAGAGGTCCAACGTTCACACAGAGGTAGAGCTGCCTGCCTGCACACCAGAACTGTCCAGTCAAAAGACATTGTGGGGCCATTTCCAGTACAAATCTTAACTTCCTATCCATTTTACTTGTGTAGCTTTGTGAAGAGAAGAACCTCCTTCAGGAAAAGCTTCAAGCAGAAACCGAGCTGTACGCTGAAGCTGAAGAGATGAGAGTCCGTTTAGCGGCTAAGAAACAAGAACTGGAAGAAATTCTGCACGAGATGGAAGCCAGAATTGAGGAAGAGGAGGAGCGCAGCCAGCAGTTGCAAGCAGAAAAGAAAAAGATGCAACAACAAATGCTGGTAAGGAGGCATATGTGACAAACACAGACAATAACTTTTATCTCACAGACAAAAAATGGAGACTGGCAAACCTCAGATCCCATGAAGGTGCTTGCTGCTCATCCCCCTGTAGGTGTGTCTGTGTCACTGAAGTAAGAGCAATGTATTGATGCTCTTTATTACAGAGTTTTCTTCCTCATCTCAGTTTTAAATAATCTTTTCTCTAAAATATTATTTTAACCAATCTTTCCTTCTAAATCACCAAGCATTACAAATCGTCTAGTTCTTAATATAAACAACAAAATCTACATCAAACCCCACATGCAGTGACAAACATTAGGCATTTCCTGTAATCAAAGCAGTATTTTATTTTCAGAATTCATATTTTGGGGTGTTTCTTTTTCCTCTAAAGGACCTTGAGGAACAGCTGGAAGAAGAAGAAGCTGCAAGGCAGAAACTGCAACTTGAAAAAGTAACAGCAGATGGCAAGATAAAGAAAATGGAAGATGATATTCTCATAATGGAAGATCAGAATAACAAGCTAACCAAGGTAAGCGTCCTGTGTCCATTTTCTTGCTTTGAGAAAATAGTGCAAGATGAGGGAAAACCTTATCTCCTGCTAGAATAACAGGAATACTCTTGACTACATAGTCTCATGAGTATACAAATTCACCAAACCATCCGTCCAGTTTCTCTCAAACAAGTTTCTGGTAATTCTTCCATGCTCATTTAAACAATGCAAAATTGTGTAAAACTACTGGTTTTGAGGTCTGTTGTGGTAACAATATCTTCAGGCAGGAAGACATGCCTGTCCTCTTGGCCCCAAGCAGAGTAAATAATTCCCTTAGCTTTCTAGCTAATTTCAACCAAACTTCATGATTAAAACTGGAAGTAAGAATGTATTACAGTACTTTTTGAAAGACAATACTCTTCTGAACTGGGCCCTGTACTTACCAGCCATTAAAGAGAGTACCAGATTCTAATAGCAGCAGATTAGAGAATATGGAAGTCATAGACACCACTCCTCAGCTCCTCAGTAACTTGAAAATAAACGTACCATTACAATCTCAAGAAATGCAGCATAAAAAGACAGTACCTTGGACATTTTTAGTTGGCAAAGAGTTGCTCCATGATAAATAAATAAAATAAAATGTTTTATTTTTCTTAAGGAAAGAAAACTCCTTGAGGAAAGAATAAGTGATCTAACAACAAATCTTGCTGAAGAAGAAGAAAAAGCCAAAAATCTTACAAAACTGAAAAACAAGCATGAATCTATGATTTCAGAACTCGAAGGTAGTGTGAACAAGAGTGGTCTGTACCTGGTTTTTTGCCTTAGCCCACAACAACAACAACAACAAAACATAAACAGAATCTGAAGAGGACTTCTACAAAATTTGTGCAGTATTTTCCAGATTTCTTATGCTGAAATAATTTTGTGGATGAGAATCACCAAAACCCCAGGGTGCATAAACTATGGATGCTTTTTTTATATAAACAAACCAAATAAGAGAGAGAGAGAGAAAATAGAAAAAAAAATGCTTCTTCTGGCAGAAGATAAATGATTCTTTGAGGTGGCTAGAAATAAGTGATGACAGTAAGTTATTGCATGGTGCTTCAGAAGTGCAATGACTTGTAGTTAAATGTATGGCCTTACTGGAGGCCAGACTACTTTTTTGGCTAAATTCGAAATTAGATCAGTGCCTTCTTGTACTAACGCACTTCCATGACCAAAACTCTTACTTTTTCAGTGCGACTGAAGAAAGAAGAAAAGAGTAGACAAGAACTGGATAAACTTAAGAGGAAGTTGGAAGGGGAGTCAAGTGATCTACATGAGCAAATCGCAGAGCTTCAGGCACAAATTGCGGAGCTGAAGGCACAGCTAGCCAAGAAGGAGGAAGAGCTGCAGGCTGCTCTAGCCAGGTATTCACTCCTGAACCCGAACACAGGTTGAAAACCCAAGCTGGAACATATGTCTCTCCCCTTCCCAGACACTGAGATGCTGCAGACATGAATCTCATCTTTCAGTTACATCCTCCCTGCATGCTTTCCCCATTTTCCAAATTTCCTCTTGTGAAAAATAGTTATGCTATTGTTTGTCCATAGACACATAATTTTACCTGCAGATATCAATGAAAACTCCTTTTACCAATGGCATTGTCAATGATGTCAAGTAAAGAATTAAATGTAACAACATACTTTATAAACAAAAGGCAGAAATTACTTAGAAGTCTGACTTTGATCCATTCCAGAGACTCAGTAGATTTTCTCTATAAATTTAAGAGGGACAACACTCAACTAAAACTTTTGCTGAATCAGCTGATAAGCATCTCCAGGCATTGTGTCGTGATAAAGTACAGCTGCCAGATCCCTTTTGCATCAGTCCGTTCTCTTTCTTTGCTACTTTCTTGCAGAGAACCTATAAAACCTTTAATCTCTACACTGATATCCTCAAAGTGATTTTTTTTTCAATAGATAAAATGAAATACTCTCTTTTCAGGCTTGAAGATGAAACCAGTCAGAAGAACAATGCCCTCAAGAAGATCCGTGAATTGGAATCTCATATCTCTGATCTCCAGGAAGACTTGGAGTCCGAGAAAGCTGCAAGAAACAAAGCAGAAAAACAGAAGAGAGACCTAGGTGAAGAGCTGGAGGCTCTTAAGACAGAGCTTGAAGATACTCTGGATACCACAGCCACCCAGCAAGAGCTCAGGTATGGAGATGTAGCACATGGGCCAGAAATAAATGTCACCAAGCTCAGTACAATACTGTCTAGCTACTACTGTGCAGTAGTGCTATTTTCCTAGTGGCTGGAACACTCTTTTGCTGCTGCTCCATTTATGTGTGTTACCTTCCAGAGCAAAGCGTGAACAGGAGGTCACAGTGCTGAAGAGAGCTCTGGAGGAGGAGACTCGAACTCATGAAGCCCAAGTCCAGGAGATGAGGCAAAAGCATACTCAAGCTGTGGAAGAGCTAACAGAGCAGCTAGAACAGTTTAAGCGGGTAAACTGAAGTCCATCTTACTGAAAAGTATCCACTAGATAACATGAGTTCCTTTTACAGACCATCTTTCTTCACTTCATGCTTGTAGGCAAAAGCAAACTTGGATAAGACCAAACAGACACTGGAGAAAGACAATGCTGATCTGGCTAATGAAGTCAGGAGCCTGAATCAGGCCAAACAAGATGTGGAGCACAAAAAGAAGAAGTTGGAATTACAGTTGCAAGAGTTACAGTCCAAATACACTGAGGGAGAGCGTGTTAGGACAGAACTCAATGAGAAAGTTCATAAGTTACAGGTAGGAAGGAGCTGGACCTTTTGATGGGGCACCTTGGGCTTGAGAAGACCAGTTTAAACTGTTCTGTGAGGGTATATCTGGAGGAATCTTGGCCCTGTTGACTTCAGATGAAATGCTCTTCTTTTTTTGTCATCTGTAGGGTTCCTACCTTGAACTTCTACCTCAATTATCACACATTTAAACAATTACAACCTCTCTGTCTCATTGAAGCGAGAGCTTTTACTCTCAGTGTCCCTCTGCACACATTGCAGTCTGTAATGCCATCACTGGTCCAGTGATTGTGCTGCATGTTTTACAGAGTTTCTTTCTGTTCATTCATTTCTGGGTGGTAGGGAACACTAAACGGAATGTGGCTTCTGGAAATGGATTAGACAGTTATTAAACACATAAGGTTCTCAAAAAATGACAACAAAACGAGAATGCTCACCTATGTATGATTGTCTAATAAGAAATAGCTAAAGATAATTTAAAATGGTTCTTTGGTAGATGTTCAATGTCCAACAAAACTAATGAAGCTTATTGTTACAACTTTGTTCATAGCAGCAGTAAGCTTTTATTTATTTTAAGTTACTGGATAAATAAGGAAATATAATCAAAATGCATCAATTTCTGTCAAACTTGGGAAGAGGAAAGAAAACCCACAAAAATCCCCATTCCTCTTTGCAATTCGTCAAAAAAAGTATACTAGTATTGTCTGACAAATATGACAAGGTTTTGGTATATAGTCATAAAATACTACAGTAAACTAAACAAAAAAAAGTGGCATTAGACCTTGGGGGTCCTTAATTCACAAGTCACAAAGATGACACATGTAGACACTGCAGATTTTGTGCGTAGGATTTAGTTCCACCGAACTTAAATGCGACATATTGCCCCCCAAAATTATGGCCAAATCACGAATTCCAGTTAAGCTAGAAACACCCAGCAGCACAGGAGCAGATTCAGATCCTGTTCAAAGTTAGGATTTCAATCTAGATCAAACTAAAGTTTGGAAGAAGATTTTGAAGTTTTGCAAAATAACAATTTATTCACTGTGGTGTCTCATAGGTTGAGGTTGAAAATGTTACTGGCTTGCTCAATGAAGCAGAAAGCAAGACAATCAAATTAACCAAAGATGTTGCAACCTTAGGATCTCAGCTACAAGACACACAGGTAAACGTCCATCCAGTAACAGCACCCCTACAATATTTATGCAATGTACTATAAAAAGACCTAAACTAACGACTGTATTGTCCATGTGGTGACTGTAGGAGCTGCTTCAGGAAGAAACGCGGCAGAAGCTAAACGTGTCTACCAAGCTTCGTCAGTTAGAAGATGAGAGGAACAGCTTGCAAGAGCAGTTGGATGAAGAAGTAGAAGCAAAACAAAATCTGGAGAGACATATTTCAACACTGACAATACAGGTATCAGTGCCATAGCTAAATCACTAGCTCCACCACTGAGAGTTTTGTCGGTAATTCTTGAAGTTTCAGATCTCTAGAACTATCCTGGCACAGCACATGGACCGTCAGAACTAGTGCTGTTAGCACAAGTGGCATCAGTAAAGCTCCACAATGGAGCTAGCAACCTCTCTTTTCTTTAAAGTTTGATCTCTAGGACAGATACCAATGCAAGGCAGCTCCCAAGATACTCTTGCACACTGGGCCCGTATGTGCATACCATGTGCATGGTCTGCCTTCTTTTATGAAGGCTGAGTGTCACTAGCTTCGCATGGGTCAAACTAGATAAGATTTCTGCATCTTGGTTGTCTTCTGGCCATCTTCCTCTGCCAAGCTTTGTTGTCACTGCTATAAAGATTTGCTCTCTGAATTAAATTTTCAGCTCTCTGACTCTAAGAAGAAGCTACAAGAATATTCCAGCACAGTAGAAGTAATGGAAGAAGGTAAAAAGAAACTACAGAAGGAAATTGAAAGTCTCACACAACAGTTTGAGGAAAAGGCTGCTTCTTACGACAAACTGGAAAAAACCAAGAACAGACTCCAGCAGGAGCTGGATGACCTGGTGGTAGACTTAGACAACCAGCGTCAGCTGGTCTCCAACCTGGAGAAGAAACAGAAGAAGTTTGATCAGGTATGGATTTAGGATTCTCCCTTTCTGTGTTACCACCTAACTTCTCTGGAACTCAGAGACTACACTGGTTTAATGAAAGATAGAGCAGGGACAAAAAATGAACAAAAATTAATTATGCATACACTGGTTAATTTTGTATTTATTACATAAATATCAAAAAGCAGAGATTTTTATCTCTCATTAACAACTGACAGGACAGCTGCAATAGAAAAACCCTATTACTAATGATTTCTGTATTAACACTACCTTTTTACAGATGCTAGCTGAAGAGAAAAACATCTCTTCAAAATATGCAGATGAAAGAGACAGAGCAGAAGCTGAAGCTAGAGAAAAAGAAACAAAGGCTTTGTCATTGGCCCGTGCACTTGAAGAAGCTTTGGAAGCCAAAGAAGAACTGGAGAGAACAAACAAAATGTTGAAAGCTGAAATGGAAGATCTTGTTAGCTCCAAAGATGATGTTGGCAAGAATGTAAGTTCTGGGCTTAGAACAATTTCCACAACAGCAACTTAAAACAGCAGCTAACAAACAGATTGTTGTTTCCAGTGTGTGAAATTCTCTGTAGCACACAAATCCACTCAGCAAGATCAGATATTTCATACAGAATTCAAAGGTTATCCCATGTGGGCCCAAACTTTCAAGAGACGTGGCGAAGTAACTGTGAGCCATCTTTATCTTTAACATGACTTCAGGCATGAAGAAGATTCTTACTAATTTCTAAGGCTGAAAAAAAATTAAAGAAATTCTAAATAATTTACTGGTTTATAAAGCAGCTTTGAAGTTGTAAACGCCACAAATCTGGTTTTATTAGTTATATTTGCCTTTGCCACCAGTCTAACATTTACTTGTATAGCTGCAGCAAATTTTCACTGATGCATTGCCAACTACTTCTTGTATTACAGTGATATGATAATATTACTTACAATACTAAATAAATGCCACTACGGTGCTTGACTAGATTAATAATGAAAGTTTGAGATGAAGAGTCTCAGGTTATTTTAAGACAGATTTGCAAGTGTACAAAAATCAGTAATTTAACATTTTCAGTGCAAATTCATTCATTCATTGTCCACAGTTGATATTTTGAAATGTGGCCTATACCGCAGGTAGACTGTGTTTAACTAGAATTATTTTTATTTCTTGTAACAAGTCTATTCAATTCTCATTGCTTGAAAGGTCCATGAATTGGAGAAATCTAAACGGACCCTTGAACAGCAAGTAGAAGAGATGAAGACACAATTAGAAGAGCTGGAGGATGAGCTACAGGCTGCTGAAGATGCCAAGCTCAGGTTGGAGGTTAACATGCAGGCCCTGAAAGGGCAGTTTGAGAGAGATTTACAAGCCAGAGATGAACAGAATGAGGAGAAGAGAAGACAACTCCTTAGACAGGTACCATTCCCTATTATTGCCTTTGAAAATACCTAAGCCAGCTAAAAGCCCCTATCCTCCTACCATTATTAAAAACACCTTACTATAATGAGAGGAAAACATTATATTGCCTTATGCCTGGCAAATTAAAAAAAAATGAAGTAGGTTATTGTACTAAAAAAGGCATAAAACTGTGTAGCAGGTGCACAATTGCCAACAGATGTAGAAATTTAGCACTACAACCAAAATAGCACAGAACATACGAATTGTTACTTCTGACACAGTCAGAAGAACCTTCCCTATATTCTCTGTGCAAGTGAGAAAAGACAGCTCTAATCTATCTGCCCTTCTCAAAGTACACTGAGTGGCTGCAAAAGCACTGAGAGTGAAGAGACAGGGCACAGACTATTTGTACAGTAGTGTTTTGACAGCAAGGACAACTGCTGTAGTCATCATCTTGTAATATACGTATTTCCATGAATACAGAACCAAAACTACTGACTCCTTTCAAGAATCATTAATTTTTGGACAAAATGGAAATCCATTTTAACTGCCAGTGAAATCACAATTAATAGAGATATAGGGGGCTGTATACATTATCCTGACATACACCGAGTATTTAAGAGTGCTCAAGGACTTCCCTAAACTTAAGTTGCTTTCTTTAATGATCAGCTCCATGAATATGAAACAGAACTGGAAGATGAGCGGAAGCAACGTGCCCTGGCAGCTGCAGCCAAAAAGAAGCTGGAGATTGATGTCAAAGATCTGGAAAGTCAAGCTGATTCTGCTGTTAAAGCTCGGGAAGAAGCCATCAAACAACTTCGCAAATTACAGGTACATAACAAACAGACTTTTTCCCACTGCTGTCTTTTATACAACTGCAGTATGAAACATCAGTGACATCTGTGAACTCGATGCCTATTACAGATGATTGGTTAGCAGGGGAGTTTGAACTAGACTCCCAGATTCAAGTATCTGTACTGTAAGGTTCAGTTTGAAGAGAAGCAGAGAGCATCAAAACTCTCTGGCCAACACTCATCTCTTACTGATTTACCCACAACGGACTCCCACATAGAGAAAGGGCTACAGGATATAATCTATTACAGGACTTCAATCCTGGTTCTAACACTTGACTCAAAAGCATCAAAGACTGTTCAGAAACCATGTTGTCTCTAAATTAGCATTTTTCTGATTATGCTGTAAGTCTCTGTATCAACTGTTCTGTCATATGCTGACAGCTAAACAACAAAAAGGGATGTATTGGAAATATTAAGACTGCACATGTAATCAAATATTCAGAGGAAACATGGACAATAGGCATTACAAGTGCCGCAGTGTGCAAGTGGAAGCATCGGTCTTCTTGGAATAGCATTTCAGACATTTCCAACACATGCTAGCTCATCCCTCCAGAAACTTTATGCAGTCATAATGACAGTGTGACTGTGTGTGTTCTGTTCTGCCCAAATTTCTTTCTACTGAGGTTTTAACAAAGCCAGATAAAAATAAATCTCTGCTATTCCTTTCAATAAGGCTCAGATGAAGGACTACCAACGAGAGCTGGATGATGCCCGGGCTGCCAGAGAAGAAACATTTGCTACAGCCAGAGAAAATGAGAAGAAAGCAAAGGGCCTGGAAGCAGAGCTCATCCAGCTTCAAGAGGTAAAGTTTATGAAGCAAACTACACATGACCTTCAGTAGCAAAACAGAACTGCAATTAAATAATACAATAGCTCTCAGTGATCGAAAGCTATAAGCAGCATCTGTAACAAGTTCCACATGCTCCATGCACTCCTATAAACTTGTTGGATCTACATCTGAGCATAGACAGATTAAGCTGAAAAAAACATCACCTTTGAGGAAGTCACAGTTCACTAGTCTTAAAGGTAAATGAACTGTATGATCCAACACAAACTGTTTTCAATAGCTATAAATTCCTGAAGTCTTGTTAGTGCTGCTATTCCTATGTGCATTAAATGGCAATCTTGTGACTAAAACAAGTAAGATAGGGACCAGCTGACAGCTAGATAAAGTGCGCTTCATCGTACTTCCATAGCATTTATAACATGACAAGAATTCATTTTGTTAATAAGACAACCCATCTTATACCAGTTTTAGAAAGTTTACAGTCCTGTGTATCATGCTATAACTGCTGAACTTTTATTTCCTTATTTATTTCCTATGCTGCCTTTTCCTTTTCTCCTAGGATCTGGCTGCTGCAGAGAGAGCTCGCAAACAAGCAGATCTGGAGAAAGAAGAGATGGCTGAAGAACTTGCAAGTGCTACTTCTGGAAGGTAGGAATAGATTGGATTACTCACAAGGCTGTGAACATGCTGCTGAACATTGCATGGCTGCAGTTATGGCTGGAAGTTACGTTCCTCCCAGCAGCCATCTCATCTTGGCAACACAACCTGCACACAAATGACTAGTTTCACTGACTACCTAGTTCTATCTTCTTTATGAATTATTGGCAATTCATAATATTTTCAGACACATTCAAGTGGTCAAAGCCATAACTACACACATGAAATTTAAATTTACAGGACAAGCCTTCAGGATGAGAAACGGCGCCTGGAGGCAAGAATTGCCCAACTAGAGGAAGAGCTAGAAGAGGAGCAAAGCAACATAGAGGCAATGGGTGATCGCATGAGGAAAGCAGTACAGCAGGTAGAGCTCATTTCAGCACATGTCACTTCCTGTTTGTATTTCAGCCAAAGATACTTGTGATTCTGAACAAATATTTTGAAAACTTTAAACTAGATTCGAAGGGGTATGGGGTTGTAGTTGGGCTTGCACAAATGGGGCAGAACTCTAGGATTGATGAGAATCGGGAGGCCTCCCATCCCTCTAGGGTGAAATCGGTGTGCTCAGCTCGCTCCCTGAAATGCCTGTACACTAATGCGCGCAGCATGGGGAATAAGCAGGAGGAGTTAGAAACCTGTGTTCGATCAGGAAATTATGATCTGGTGGCAATTACAGAGACATGGTGGGACAGCTCACATGACTGGAATGTGCTCATGGATGGCTATGTCCTTTTCAGGAAAGACAGGCCAGCAAGGAGAGGTGGTGGAGTTGCTCTTTACGTGAGAGAGCAACTACAGTGTCTTGAGTACTGTCCGGGGGCAGATGAGGAGAGAGTGGAGAGTCTGTGGGTGAGAATTAAGGGGCAGGCTGGCAGGGGTGACACTGTTGTGGGTGTCTATTACAGGCCACCAGATCAGGGTAAGGAAGTTGATGAGGCCTTCTACAGGCAGCTGAGAGCAGCCTCACAGTTGTAGGCCCTGGTTGTCGTGGGAGATTTTAACTTCCCTGATCTTTGCTGGAAGGACCACTCAGCCAGTCAGCCACAGTCCAGGAGGTTCCTCCAGTGCATTGACGATAACTTCCTCATGCAAATGGTGGAGGAGCCGACTAGGGGAGATGCACTGCTGGATCTCATCCTCTCTAACAAGGAGGGTCTGGTCGAAGCAGTAAAGGCTGAGGGCTGCCTTCGTTGCAGAGATCATGAAATGGTGGAGTTCAGGATCTCATGTAGCAGAAACAAAATAACAAGCAGAGTTGCAACCCTGGACTTCAGCTGGGCAAACTGACCTCTTCAAACAATTGCTAAGGGAAATCCCATGGGAAAGCTGCTTGAAGGTAAAGGGGCCCAA